CCCCCTGCTGGCCGCTAGAGAGGACGCAGGTTTAAGTCGCCCCCTGCTGGCTGCTGGAGAGGACGCAGGTTTAAGTCGCCCCCTGCTGGCTGCTAGAGAGGACGCAGGTTTAAGTCGCCCCCTGCTGGCTGCTAGAGAGGACGCAGGTTTAAGTCGCCCCCTGCTGGCTGCTAGAGAGGACGCAGGTTTAAGTCGCCCCCTGCTGGCTGCTGAGAGGACGCAGGTTTAAGTCGCCCCCTGCTGGCTGCTAGAGAGGACGCAGGTTTAAGTCGCCCCCTGCTGGCCGCTAGAGAGGACGCAGGTTTAAGTCGCCCCCTGCTGGCCGCTAGAGAGGATGCAGGTTTAAGTCGCCCCCTGCTGGCCGCTAGAGAGGACGCAGGTTTAAGTCGCCCCCTGCTGGCCGCTAGAGAGGACGCAGGTTTAAGTCGCCCCCTGCTGGCTGCTAGAGAGGACGCAGGTTTAAGTCGCCCCCTGCTGGCTGCTAGAGAGGACGCAGGTTTAAGTCGCCCCCTGCTGGCTGCTAGAGAGGACGCAGGTTTAAGTCGCCCCCTGCTGGCTGCTGGCGAGGACGCAGGTTTAAGTCGCCCCCTGCTGGCTGCTGGAGAGGACGCAGGTTTAAGTCGCCCCCTGCTGGCTGCTAGAGAGGACGCAGGTTTAAGTCGCCCCCTGCTGGCTGCTAGAGAGGACGCAGGTTTAAGTCGCCCCCTGCTGGCTGCTAGAGAGGACGCAGGTTTAAGTCGCCCCCTGCTGGCTGCTGGAGAGGACGCAGGTTTAAGTCGCCCCCTGCTGGCTGCTAGAGAGGACGCAGGTTTAAGTCGCCCCCTGCTGGCCGCTAGAGAGGACGCAGGTTTAAGTCGCCCCCTGCTGGCCGCTAGAGAGGATGCAGGTTTAAGTCGCCCCCTGCTGGCCGCTAGAGAGGACGCAGGTTTAAGTCGCCCCCTGCTGGCCGCTAGAGAGGACGCAGGTTTAAGTCGCCCCCTGCTGGCCGCTAGAGAGGACGCAGGTTTAAGTCGCCCCCTGCTGGCCGCTAGAGAGGACGCAGGTTTAAGTCGCCCCTGCTGGCCGCTAGAGAGGACGCAGGTTTAAGTCGCCCCCTGCTGGCCGCTAGAGAGGACGCAGGTTTAAGTCGCCCCTGCTGGCCGCTAGAGAGGACGCAGGTTTAAGTCGCCCCCTGCTGGCCGCTAGAGAGGATGCAGGTTTAAGTCGCCCCCTGCTGGCTACTAGAGAGGACGCAGGTTTAAGTCGCCCCCTGCTGGCTACTAGAGAGGACGCAGGTTTAAGTCGCCCCCTGCTGGCTGCTAGAGAGGACGCAGGTTTAAGTCGCCCCCTGCTGGCCGATAGAGAGGACGCAGCTTTAAGTCGCCCCCTGCTGGCTGCTAGAGAGGACAAAGGATATCTTTGTGTATTCTCTTGAGCAGAAAACCGTTTCCTCCTCTTGCTGCTGAACAATTTGTTCCACCAGAACATGCCATTTACAGTTGTATGGACTACAAATACAAAAAGTGTCATGTGACTAAACTTTTCTCATGTTACACTCTCTTGCCAGAGTATAACTGACCCTTTAGAGGCACCAGATGAGTGACGGCTGACTCACCCCGTGACCGTTGCACTTCCTGCGACATTCATCCACAGCGAACACCGACACATCCTGACACTTCTGGTTCAAACAGGCCTAAAACACAGAAACGCATTTTACAAAATTATTGTAAAACAGACTATTACCATCAACTAGAGATAATTCATGACAGATCTTCCATTACACAGCTATCCAGCTTTTGTCTTTCAGCTCTATCTGAAAGCTAAACCCTATCAGTTCCTCCTGGCCTGCAGGGGGCGGCGTCTGACCTTGCCGGGGCTGCAGGCGGTGCCCTGGGCCACGGTGGCGGGATCCGACACGTCATCCCCCAGGTGGAAGAAGGTTCCTCTGCAGACCAGGTCGCTATGGTTGAAGCGTACCGTGGTGGTGAGGATCTCTGCGTTGGTGCCCAGCAGGGGGCGCTCCCTCCCTCCCTGACACTGGATCCTGCCGCAGTGAACGTCACTGCAACGCAACAGACACAACAGGAAGTGATGTGAGAGGACGTTTCTACAGGATAACAGGATGCTGAAGTTGGTGTTCACCTGCTGTGAGTCCACTCAGAGGCTTCAGACACCAAACAAGCAGAATACAGCGAGTAGTCAGACACTTTAATGAGGGCGGCTGTGCCGTCTGTCTGTGTACCGTCTGTGTACTCACGAGTTTCCACAGGGGACGTAGGAGCCGTTGGCCAGCTGACCGCAGTTTCCGTATTTGTTCCCCTGTTTGTTGACTGATGAGAAACAGACGGCTGGAGCGCTGGTGGCATCTGAAGACAGAAATTTAAGTGAGATTCTTATATTCTTCTGCTCTTAGGTGTAGTAAACTCTCTTATCACTGACATGGACCCCTCCACTTTCACCGCCTTCACTGTCAGGAAACAAACTCTCAGATCACAACATTGTAAACGTGTTTCTGAAAATTCCACACAACCCTGGAAACAAACCAACAGAGCTCTGTAAGCTGGACAAACTCAGGGAGATGTTTTGCTCAGTATTTACTCAGTATAAAGAGATGTTTTCTTGATAGAAAGTGGTTTAGATTCAGTATGAACTGGTTTAGATTCAGGATAAATTGGTTTAGATTCAGTATAAATTGGTTTAGATTCAGTATAAATTGGTTTAGATTCAGTATAAATTGGTTTTATTTCAATATAAATTGGTTTAGATTCAGGATAAATTGGTTTTATTTCAGTATAAACTGGTTTAGATTCAGGATAAATTGGTTTAGATTCAGGATAAATTGGTTTAGATTCAGTAAATTGGTTTTATTTCAATATAAATTGGTTTAGATTCAGGATAAATTGGTTTTATTTCAGTATAAACTGGTTTAGATTCAGTATAAACTGGTTTAGATTCAGGATAAATTGGTTTTATTTCAGTATAAACTGGTTTAGATTCAGGATAAACTGGTTTTATTTCAGTATAAACTGGTTTAGATTCAGTATAAATTGGTTTTATTTCAGTATAAACTGGTTTAGATTCAGGATAAATTGGTTTAGATTCAGTATAAATTGGTTTTATTTCAGTATAAACTGGTTTAGATTCAGGATAAATTGGTTTTATTTCAGTATAAACTGGTTTAGATTCAGGATAAACTGGTTTTATTTCAGTATAAACTGGTTTAGATTCAGGATAAATTGGTTTAGATTCAGGATAAGCTGGTTTAGATTCAGGATAAATTGGTTTTATTTCAGTATAAACTGGTTTAGATTCAGGATAAATTGGTTTTATTTCAGTATAAACTGGTTTAGATTCAGTATAAACTGGTTTAGATTCAGTATAAACTGGTTTAGATTCAGTATAAATTGGTTTAGATTCAGTATAAATTGGTTTTATTTCAGTATAAACTGGTTTAGATTCAGGATAAATTGGTTTTATTTCAGTATGAACTGGTTTAGATTCAGTATAAATTGGTTTTATTTCAGTATAAACTGGTTTAGATTCAGGATAAATTGGTTTTATTTCAGTATAAACTGGTTTAGATTCAGTATAAACTGGTTTAGATTCAGGATAAATTGGTTTTATTTCAGTATAAACTGGTTTAGATTCAGGATAAACTGGTTTTATTTCAGTATAAACTGGTTTAGATTCAGGATAAACTGGTTTAGATTCAGGATAAATTGGTTTTATTTCAGTATAAACTGGTTTAGATTCAGTATAAATTGGTTTAGATTCAGGATAAATTGGTTTTATTTCAGTATAAACTGGTTTAGATTCAGGATAAATTGGTTTTATTTCAGTATGAACTGGTTTAGATTCAGTATAAAATGGTTTTATTTCAGTATAAACTGGTTTAGATTCAGGATAAATTGGTTTTATTTCAGTATAAACTGGTTTAGATTCAGTATAAACTGGTTTAGATTCAGGATAAATTGGTTTAGATTCAGTATAAATTGGTTTTATTTCAATATAAATTGGTTTAGATTCAGGATAAATTGGTTTTATTTCAGTATAAACTGGTTTAGATTCAGGATAAATTGGTTTTATTTCAGTATAAACTGGTTTAGATTCAGGATAAATTGGTTTTATTTCAGTATAAACTGGTTTAGATTCAGTATAAATTGGTTTTATTTCAGTATAAATTGGTTTAGATTCAGGATAAATTGGTTTTATTTCAGTATAAATTGGTTTAGATTCAGGATAAATTGGTTTAGATTCAGGATAAATTGGTTTAGATTCAGGATAAACTGGTTTTATTTCAGTATAAACTGGTTTAGATTCAGGATAAATTGGTTTAGATTCAGGATAAACTGGTTTAGATTCAGGATAAATTGGTTTTATTTCAGTATAAACTGGTTTAGATTCAGGATAAATTGGTTTTATTTCAGTATAAACTGGTTTAGATTCAGGATAAATTGGTTTTATTTCAGTATAAACTGGTTTAGATTCAGGATAAATTGGTTTTATTTCAGTATAAACTGGTTTAGATTCAGGATAAATTGGTTTTATTTCAGTATAAACTGGTTTAGATTCAGGATAAATTGGTTTTATTTCAGTATAAACTGGTTTAGATTCAGGATAAATTGGTTTTATTTCAGTATAAACTGGTTTAGATTCAGTATAAATTGGTTTTATTTCAGTATAAACTGGTTTAGATTCAGTATAAACTGGTTTTATTTCAGTATAAACTGGTTAGATTCAGTATAAATTGGTTTTATTTCAGTATAAACTGGGTTAGATTCAGGATAAATTGGTTTTATTTCAGTATAAACTGGTTTAGATTCAGGATAAATTGGTTTTATTTCAGTATAAACTGGTTTAGATTCAGGATAAATTGGTTTTATTTCAGTATAAACTGGTTTAGATTCAGGATAAATGGTTTTATTCAGGATAAACTGGTTTAGATTCAGGATAAATTGGTTTTATTTCAGTATAAACTGGTTTAGATTCAGTATAAATTGGTTTTATTTCAGTATAAATTGGTTTTATTTCAGTATAAACTGGTTTTATTTCAGTATAAACTGGTTTAGATTCAGTATAAATTGGTTTTATTTCAGTATAAATTGGTTTAGATTCAGTATAAACTGGTTTAGATTCAGGATAAATTGGTTTTATTTCAGTATAAACTGGGTTAGATTCAGGATAAATTGGTTTTATTTCAGTATAAACTGGGTTAGATTCAGTATAAATTGGTTTTATTTCAGTATAAACTGGGTTAGATTCAGTATAAATTGGTTTTATTTCAGTATAAACTGGGTTAGATTCAGGATAAATTGGTTTTATTTCAGTATAAACTGGTTTAGATTCAGGATAAACTGGTTTAGATTCAGGATAAACTGGTTTTATTTCAGTATAAACTGGGTTAGGCTTCAGTTGAACCGGTATAAACTGGTGTCTTACTGGGTCCCCACAGCATCTGGCACTGGGTGTGCATGCTGGCGCACACTCCTCCGTAGCAGTAGGAGGCGCTGTCCTCGCAGGGCTCTCCGTTCTGCAGGAAGACGTTGGGGGGGCAGTGAGGGGAGGAGCCTGTGCAGAACTCAGGGAGGTCGCACTCTCCGAGTGGCTCGCGACACACCGACCCCGCCGTCCGCAGCTGAGGAGGGAGGGAGGGGATGGTTGAATGTAAAGTTTGACAGAAACATTAACGTGTGTGTGTCGCGTCAGGCTGACCTTGCAGTCGTGGCAGCAGATGCCGTCAGACGAGCACTGGGCTCCAGGAACCAGCTGACAGGTGGAGGCGTTACAGCAGGGGTCCTCACACTCCTGACCAATCAGAGCACAGCAACACATCACAAGGGAGAACAACAGGTAAACACGTCTGACTGGCATCCACAAGAAACCTGACTGGACAGTTTTTATGTTGTTACTGTGGAAAACACAAAGACGTGTCATCCTGAAAGCCCGGGAGCGTCTGGGCAGGCGAGTACCTCCATCAGGCCGCAGTCGCACTCCTCTCCTCTCTCCACGTACAGGTTCCCACAGCGAGGGCCTCCCAGCAGGCGGTCCGGCTGCGGTACGTTGAAGAGACACATACCGCCGCCGTGCAGCAGGCTGACGGACAGATCTGCAGCGCTGCAGCTGCTGAACTGCTGACCCGGCATGAACCTGAGGGTCAGAGGTCACCGTTGGAACTTAATACATAATAAGTCAGTGGTTCAATACAAGAGGCTGGGACCCGGTGGTTTAATCCTGAGAACGCAGTTTATATTTGCTTTGTATATAAAATAAAGATAAGACTGACTGAGACTTTCTAAAAAGCCAGTTTCTTCTTCTGCGTCCACTCTACGCCGCAGCCTGACGCACACTTCCCCCAAAAATGCAACTACACGTCGCAGCGACGCAGGCCGCAAGAACTGTGATTGGTCTTCTTGGTGGCGTCACGTTTCCTCCTACGCATTTCCCGCTCATCTCTCTTCTTCTGCCTCAGCTGGTTCGAGGGTCGTACGCACCATCCTCCTTCGCCTTCTCCCGTTTCTGCGTTTTAGTAATTTCACTAAAAGTAACTTTTGTCCAACGTGATCTGCTCAGTTTCAGCCGCCTACACCAACGAAGAAGAAGAAGAAAACACAACACAGTGGAACATGGAAAACCCCACCGCCAACTAGAGTTTCGGCGACGTAACCGTAGAGCGACGCAAACACGTAGACTCAAGTATAAACTGGCCTTTACTCCACGACCGCTGAGACGTCTGACGGACGACTTTTCACCGCGCTCGTCCTCGGGAGCCACGGTCGCACTCGTTTATAACACGTGGAATTGCAGTTGTTTGTTGGTCTGAACTTGTGACAGCACTGCTCTGTGACTCAGTTAAATACTCTGCTACCGACCCGGTCGAGGGTTCCATGATGCATCCTCCGAGCCGCGGTTCGTTCTGACAGGAGCAGCGGCGCTCGGCGGTGTCGTGACTCATCCCCAGGTTGTGACCGAGCTCGTGAGCAACAGTGGAGGCGACGCCCAACACGCTGACCAGGTGGTCCTGAGAGAGAGAGAGAGAGAGAGAGAGAGAGAGAGAGAGAGAGAGAGAGAGAGAGAGAGAGAGAGAGAGAGAGAGAGAGAGAGAGGTTTAGAACAGCAGTTCATTTCTATCTTGTAGAGACTTTGAAATTCATCATAGTAATAATAATGATGATGGATTCTGAAAACAATCTTTATGGACCCCGGCACCTATTTCTAGGAAAAACGCCTAAATTAACATATCCTAAATAAATCAGTAATATCTCCTCAACCATTTGGCCTAGATGCATCATTCTGGTCTCCTTTGAAAGGTCAGAAGCTGAGGAATATAAATCCATCGTAGATTAACATATTTATTTCACCATTACAGACTACATGGATAGGAAATACAGAAAAATAATGATATTTTCATCCTCGTCTGGTAAAAAAAAGCTTTATTTTGATGCAATAAACCATCAAAACCATCCTAAGGTAGATTATAATGCACCTGAATATCTTCTAATACACCTAGAATACAACTGTAACTGTAAATTTGATGAAAAGAAACTGATATACAACAGTTATTACATAATCTTTCAAAAATACACCAGGTGAATGTCCATGTTTTGGCCATATTTACTATATATATATATATATATATATATATATATTTAGTTTTCTTCAAAACATTATTTCTCTCCACACAACCACGTTCCAAATAACAAAGCTTCCAAAACATTGAAATATTGATACAAACAGTCAATATAAATGACCAAAAGCACTCCCACACTTTCCAGGCCCACAGCTTGAGACCAGAACATCCTGCAGGGCTGTGGTGGGCTCATTTTGTTCGTCTCAAAGAGACGATTTCAGGCATTTCTTGCATGTCTGTGTAGCTCGCTCCGTACGGGTCGCCAGCAGAGACCGATAAAGTTCACCTCCGCCAAATTACACTCTTCTCCTGCTCTCATACCTCGTGAAACAAACAAAACTTAAGACCGCAGCCGACCTCACCAAGATGGCGGCCTGCCAGACGATCTCTGTGGACACAAAGCGCCGCAGTTTCTGGACAGAAAACAGCTAGAACAGCGAAAATCTATTACGTGCCCGATACCGGGTCAGTCCGTTCCCACTGCGTGAAGCTGATGTGAAGATTTTAAAAGTGTCGTTTTCCCATTTAAACATTTTCTTAAATGATCTGATGGACTGAGATTAATCGGCCAATAGGCTGATGGCTGCACTCAGGAGGTTGATATCTCATCCTACATGACAGCAGCTCGAATCTAACGCCATAAATATATAGAATAATGAAGTTAACCTCTGACCAGTGTTGAGCATTATTACTTTTCCCAGTAACTAGTAGTGTTAGGGATATTACAGTTACAAATCCAAGTAACGCTGCGATACAGAACGCAACATCCTTGATGCGAATGCACAAGTCAGACGATGTTCAGCTCAAGGCAGAATGGGGAAGGAGGGAGAGCCGTTATTTCCACACCATTTCACCATTACTAAGATGCAAAGAAAGTTGTCGTCCGTTGCAAACTTTGTGCGACCGCCAACAAGTCTACATCTGATTTACGGCAGAGAGACCTGCTTTATCGTTTCTTTTTTAATACATCCAGAGCCTGTTCTGCGCGGCACCATCTGGTCTGAGGCTGCAGTGTTTCAGTTCGGCTGCTTGTTGACGCCTCAGGTTCATTAATGTTCCAGTAAAGTGGATTCATTTCTAAAATGAGCTGCTGTCCGTCGCTCGTCAGAACAGAGTGACTTACACTTTGTTTTAGACCAATCAGGGTTCCTTTGGCTATGAATACTACAATACCCATAAACCCTCGCTGCTGTTGCCATGGAGAAGAAGCCAGTCAGTGAATCAGAACACAGGGATTTTAAAATGCTTCTTTGGTGTGAACAAAGTAAACTGAGATTATTGATCCTGGTTCCCTGCTGACTGAAAACTGTTTGGACCATAAATTCTGGTGGATCTAAACCGACAACCTCACACAGTCTCTGTCTCTGCGGAGTTTCCTGGTTATAAAACTCACCACGTTGACTCCACCCGACCGGTCTCTGGAGCACATGGACGACTGAGACGCCATCCCCACGGTGGTGCCGTCAAAAGACCCGCCCCTGTGAAATAAAAACGAACCGTGACCGTCAGCCGGATCAGAACCTGAAGCTTTTATCCATATTAAACGTGGCTGTCCTCCTACATGACGAGCTGCGCGTTGTCGTGGCGAAGGCGCGGCAGCAGCTCTCTGGTTCTCCACTCCAGGAAATTGTTGAGGGTGTCGGTGGGACTCTTCTCCACCCGGATCTTATCCCGGTCGCTCCAGATCTCCAGACCGGTCAGCGCCACCCGGACGTTCAGAGGACGGTAGAACTGAAACAGACAGAAGAGAGGCGGTTCTTCCTCTGCAGCAGATTCACGGGGTTCACGGTTACCAGGGGAGGTCAGAGGACCCAGTTCTCACCCAGTCCACCTGGTTGGCCACGTCCAGCATGCGGTAGATGATGGTCTTATTGTTCTTCTGGTAATTCAGAAACTGAAAAACACAAATGTTTAAACGCACGTTAGGGGCTGAGGAAGTTCTTCTCATTGAGGTTTTTTAAGGACATGAACTGCCGCCATCTTGTGTCAAAAGGACGTTACTGCAGAAAATCTAAGTACAAAGAAACAAGTTCCAGCCGGTTCCTCTGTTTTCTACCACAGAGAGCTGAACATCTTTGGACTGTTGGACAAAACGAGACATGTACATAGTTGTTTGGGCCATTAACTGTCAGTAAATGGTGAATAAGGGACGTCCCCAAATGTCTTTAATTAATCACAACCCAAATATATTCAGTTTAATGTCATAGAGGAGGAAAACCCCCCGAAAAAAACTCACATTTAAGAAGCCTAAACCGATTAACTGATTATCCAAATAGTTGGAGATTCTGCAAGTATGAAGCCTTTTGTGCCTCGGAGGGAGCTGTGTGAGTAACGTCCTCGGGCGACGACGCTGAAAACGAAACTAACCCGTCGGTGGGAGTCAGAAAGAAGTGAACTCTCAGACGTCTGCAGCTGCAGGCGACTTTAGCCGCTGCTAGCATCGCACACCACGATCACCACGAGTTCATTTCAACCACAAAACTCTGACGGCCTTTAAATTAAAACGAGAACAAGGAAACTAATACAAAAGAAATTAAAAACAAATGTGTTTCCCAGGCTGACTGCTGTGGGGGCCACAACAATCTCGATTAACTTGTTTATTTAATTGCTGGAAGCTAAAATCGTGATAAAAATGTCATTAATTGTGCAGCCCTGACTAATTCTACCTCGTACAACAAAGATTTCCGACAGCTGCATCCTCAAAAATGCTTCGAGGACATCAAAGATTAAAAACGCAGGACCGACAGTCAGACCGTGTTCCAGTGTTAATTAATGACTTTGAAATGAATGAATAACGAGAATGATGATCGGCTGCAGCACACACACATTGTAAACACACACTGACCTCCTGGTTATCGGCCACCAGCACCAGCTCGATGTATTTGGTCTCAGACAGGATGTCCCGCTTCGTCTGCAGATGGAACAAAGAGAGGTCAGAGGTCACACAGCAACTTCTCCTTAATGCTACGTCTCTATTGTAAGATTTTGTTTCTAAGAAACAATAAAGATTTTGTCCGTTTTGGGGGGCAGCTCTAAATACTACAATTCCCATGAGCCTCAGCTGCTGTTGCCACGGAGAAGAAGCCAGTCAGAAAACTGATCCAGAACCTGAAAGTAAGAAAATTTTCAGCTCACAACAGACTGCGGAGCTCTGTGATTGGCAGTCTGTTGGTGAAATGCACCCTGGGAGTCGTAGTTGATGTAGCTCCCTCGGTTTTTCTGGCATTATGTTTTTTCCCCACCCGATTTTAGACAAACTCTCACTTGACGGACACTAGCTCTGTGTCAAGTCCTGCCAGCTGATTGGCTAACCCCGACCTTTACCAACAGAGGCAGCCAGTGGGAGCCAATCAGAAGCAGAGTTGTTGAAAATCTTGTTTTAAAGGAAGAAGCAGACATTCGATGAAGCGGGGGAGGTTCTGTCTCACCCGGTGTGTGTGTGTGGAGCTGTGGATGGGGGGGACGGTGTGAGACAACCCGCAGCCTCCGGCACCGTCGCCCTCCAGAGGGCTGGTGGAGAACAGCAGGTGGACGCCTCCTTCATCTCCTCCTCCTCCTCCTCCTCCACTGCCTCCACTCCCGTCTGTTCCACTCTCCTCCTCCCCCCTCCTCCCCCCGTGGGTGGTGGTCGTCCTCCTGAGGCCGCAGCTCATAGCTCAGGGTGGAGTTGATGGCGATGACGCCGCTGCAGGAGGAAACACAGGAAGTCTCATTTATTACTGCAGATGATCAGTCAGGCTGTGGGGAGAGAAAAGCAGCAAAGCTCCCAGAGACTGGCCGCACACTGGAGGATAACTGGGCTAGGTTTGGGTCTGACGGGTTTACGGACACAATCTGAAGGTCGCCGACTGGTTCGAAGCCTCCCTGATATCAAAATTAACGGCCAGCCAGGTATATGAGGGGCCACACATTGTAGCATTTTTCAGAGAAACACAGAGTCATTATGTTACAAGTCGCGACACGGTGGCTATTTTACAAGCACGGACCAGGCAAAGCGACAGTGAACACATTAATACAGATGTAATTCGTTAGCTTCCACGTTGGTTTTGTTTTGAAAGGCGGTGCAGCTGCTGCTGTGAACGGAATCGCGGGAGGGGAAGTCCAGGGGCCGGTTGCACAAAAAACCTTAGGATAAGATTTTCCTTAAAGTCTGAGTTAAGGTTAAGGTTTCCTTAAAATGTTCACTATCTGAGGTTTTCTCCTTATCTTGGTCTTCTACTTAAGGAATCCCTTAAGTATGTTAAACCATTGCATAAAAGACCTCAGCAACCAAACTAGGGAAAAGAATTTAAGGGACCTCTGGCTTTATCTTAACCGCAACACAGTTTATGGCGATAAATGAAAGGAGAGTTCCGTGACCAGGAGAATCCAATGGATACGCTAAATGATGAGCAACTTTGAGCACAAAATTTTGCTATTAGTCAAAAAATATTTGGCGAACTAAGTGGGTAATCAACATTGTAAGGAAATGACTCAGAAAAATATGAAATATCATAGAAATATCAAAATACACTGGAGGGGGGCTTTAAGACTTTTCCTTAACTAAGGGATTCTGTTCAACACCCTTAAGTAAATTCCTTAGCTAAGGAGAAATTAAGTGTCATACTTAAGAAAACAACTTAAGGTTTTTTGTGCAACTGGCCCCAGAAGACTAGTTCTGTTTTTTTTGGAGACTACCGCTATGGAGAAAGTTACCAGGGAGATTTTGTTGAATTTGTATAAGCAGTTTCATCAACAACAACATACTTGGATCAAAAGCAAAAAAATGACCAAATAATGCTAAAAACAAAATTTTAAAGAAACCCTCCCGACCTGTGGATGTGTGTTAATGCACGTGTTGTGGGTCAGTGATCGCAGCTGCAGAATAAAAAGCTCTCCCTTGTGTTAATAATCTGTTGCTGGACAGAGGTTTCTGTGTAAAGAGCCTCTGACCTAAAAACCCTAAACTGGACCAGGTTCTGTTCACGTGAGCTGATAATTAAGTCCACTAATCCTCCTGCGGCCTTCACGCTGCGCTGCAGAGGTCAGAGGTCACTCACATTGATCCGGATCAGTTTAACCTGCAGAGGAACGCTGATGTCATCGGCCCAGAAACACAAAGACCTGAAACACACCAAATCCTGGACTCTGCACAAACCGGATTGGAGGTTTTGGAGGTTTAAGAGATTTTGCTTCTTATTTTTTCGTCAGTGTTGTTGGAGGAGAAAATGTTTTGCTCAGAATACGCAGGAAGAGCGGCAGCAGTAAATATTCAGCAGACGCTTCCTGTCCTGCAGTAAACACTGAATACAGTCAGCACATACCTGCAGAGTAACAAACACAACCTCCTGCTGCCCCTCCTGCATCTCAGCTAAAACCTTTTCACATCCCAAACAGGGACTTCTTTAAGGGCCCTTTCTCACCAAGGTTTCTACACTTGACATCGATGGTTTGTAAACAGTCAAACACACTAAGAAATGTCCATGCTTTCTAATAAAAACAACATCAGACTGATCAGGAATACAGTGCAGATATTGTTATAAATGACTGCTGATAACTAGTAACTGTAATACTGCACATATCCTTAGGATTTTGTGAACTTTATATTTATAGAAATACAAATCCCCCCCCCCCCCTCTGCAATATGTCTGCACAACACATTACTCTGGAGTAATGCTCATGTAGTAATAATACTATTATTTTTTATAACTTGCATCTGTTAATTCCATGTTTATATATTTTTACATTTATTTATCTCAACTGTATGTTTATGTACCTTATCACCAAAACAAATTCCTTGTACGTGTAAAATACTATTTGGCAAACAGCTGGGGCCTCATTTTATAAAACTGTAAGCACTGTGGTGCATGTGAGGGAGCTCCATGTCCGACCCTTCAAACGTCACATTGAAAACGGCATCAGTTTAAATATAATCTGTCTCCTGTTCACCTTCTTTATGAGAATAAATGTCTGCATGCAAGAATTAATTAATCTGATTCCTGATTAAACATATTTGAGGCTCTTGTGCAGAAACAGAATCTGTTTGTGTTTATGATCCTGAATCTGGATCTTTTTGTGGCTGCAAATGATCTTAAATTGTTTGTTTCTTTGGCCACTTCAGGGAAAATCAGTCAAATGGCTGTTTGTTTATTCAGAAGCCTGGAATACTCAGAGGGAATATCTGGATTTATTTCACACAGCAGTCGGCCTCTTCATTTCAAGACATTTTTTGTCTGGTGACATCACTACCATCAACCCTGAAGCCCGTCACTTTAACTCTGCTGGACTTGTCACTGATTGTTCGTATTGCCGCCATCTCTTAAACACCAAACCAGTGTGTCTACTTTGCAATATGAGTAAAAGAATATCATATTCAGAGGAACCATACAGAGACATTTTCTGGACAAACCTTCCCACAGGAGAAGGACGCGGTGTTTGATTGCATCGTGGCCGTCTCACCTGGTGCGTTCAGGTTGCTTATTTTAAAGGTAAACCAGTAAACACCTTGATTTGTTTTTAAATAGGTGCTGAAAATGTCCGGCCCATCTACAAGTCCTGGATTTAATAGTGTTCTACTGAGCCTACTGAGGAGACGTCTAGTCCAACAGAGGAAAGACACTTCTGACAAATACCTCAGTCAATCACCCACAGTAGCACGTGTCTGTGTGGCTTCACTATTTACGTCATTTAAAGGCCTAAAGAGGCAAAAAGCAAAGATGGAAGAAGGTGGGAAACATCTTGTGCAACCTTCTTTCCTATTCACTGCATCAACTTGAGACCAAGATTATTATTATCGTAAACGAAGACGAACGAAATAACGAAAACTAGATGTGAAAAAACATTGTTGTTAACTGAAATACAAATGAGGCTTTACAAAAAATTATAACTTTGTAGTTTTGCAAAACTAACTAAAGGTAACTCCAATGAAAGAGTAAAAGTCCTTAGTTTTCGTCTATTTATTTATTTCAGAGGACCGAAGCCTACGTTTCAGCGGATATGAAGCCGGGGAACTGACGCAGCGTAGCGGCTGGCGACCGCTGTTTGGAGGACAGCCCCATGTAACGTTAGGGGAAGCTAACTTAGCCGGGGAGACCCAGGTAGGGATCAGCTGGTGGTTGGTGGGATTTGAACATGTTTTTTTATATTATCAAACTACAAAATAATATGAATGCAACAAGTGTCCAGAGCTGTGTTTAGTTTAGTTTAGTCTTGGTGGTTTTCTGTTCCTTGTTCTGATGGTCTGGCTCAGAGCTCGTCCTGCATGTGAGATGAACTGGCCCACTGACTGTGAGCTCTGGGTTAACTGTCAGCTGCTCATTATATTACTGCATGTTTTATGGGCTCATTCATATCTCAGCCAGCCTGTCTCTTTGTGCTTTTAACAGAATCTAGTTTTTGATTAATAAAGGTCTGGATTTTAATATAACTGCTTTCCAGTCAGACTTGCCTTCAGGGTGCTAGGGACCTGTTGGTTGTGGCTCCAAGAGGGGCCTCCGCTATCCTCTTATTTCTTAGCTGTCCATCACCTCCATTTATTGTATTTCACCTATTTAACCATGAATGTCAGAGCCAGAGACTGATGAAATGAATCTCTAGGGATCACTGGGTAGCAGGATCAGGGTAGTTTAGCTCTGAGGCTTTTCTGTATGTGGGTTAGAAATTATACTGTAGATGCAGCATGTGCTTCATAGATTTGTGGTATTTATTATTTAGACAATGTGTTCAACTATAATATATATATATATATATATATATATATGCAGTGTTTGCTTGTTTAGATAAATTTCACTTTCTTTTTCAGTTTTAAGTACCAGTTTGTGATTGGAGGATCTGTTCACGATTGCTAATGCCTCGTTCAGCCTGTGGCTCACGTTCATCTATTACAACACTGGACTTGACTGAAGCTGCACGGGGTCTGTGTCATACTTTCCATTTCCCCTTTTACAGGGGCGTGACACAGAGGTCTGGATCCTCAGGTTGGACTCCACCTTGCTAAAAGAAAGACTGATGGAGGAACTACGTTCCTGTGGTTTGTCCTCGTTCCAAACTTCACACCCAGAAATTATGTTTTCTACAAAACCTCTTTTTGTCATTTACAGCTTCATAACTGCAGCTCAGCCTCGTGATCAGCTATACTGACATTTAAATTAACCAATCACAAGGAGCGTTATCTTCACATGTTCTGTAACGTTATCGCTCATCACCTCTTTATAAGACTTAATATAATATATAAATATATATATATATTATTTAGTGTCCAGTTATTCTACAGCAGCAAACAAATTATTAAAACAAAATGAAATAAGTGTGTCTGATATTTTGACTGGTTTTTTTGTGACCTGATGATTGAACTGGCTTCTTCTTCTTCTCCTCCTGAAACAGGCCAGTGTTTGATTTTGTCGTAGAAGAAGTCTGAATAAAATTCAGCCTAATTCTGGTACTGACCGGAGTCCGGAGCAGGTGCTCAGCGCCACTCTGGACTGGGGGAAGCCTCGGACGCTGCCGTGGTAATAACAGTGAGTCTGCACACAAACACAGGAAACATCTGTCACAGCTGGAAAACACCACAGAGACCGCGAGGACAGGCGGCGGTGCGTTCACTGACTCACCACAGGGTCGGCTCTCACGGACACCCCGGTGCCGTTGGGCAGGTAGTAGAAGACGTTGGGCGGTTTGGGCAGCAGGTCACTGCGGAGAGACGGCATATCAGATCACACTCTGTCTCGTGTTGTGTTCAATGTCACACTGTAAATCAGACTCACTGGTTCTTCTCCAGGTCCAGCAGGAAGAGGCGTCCTCCCACCTCCAGCCCGGACTGCAGCCTGTCGGGGTGACCGTCCTGAAAACAGGTCGGAACAACATTTGCTTTATTTAGTCTCGGAGGACGAAAGAAGAGTCAGGGGACCTCCGTTTCTATGGTAGCCTCATTTTAGTCATAGTTATCATATGATACAGTACTGATTTTGGACGTTCTAGCAATTAAAATCCCTCTGAGATGTAAAGGATACCTTGATACATGTGTTAAATCTTTCTTTCCATGCGACAGGAGTGAAACGTACCCAGAGATCCTCTCTCTGGTCTTCCTGCACACCTGGCTTGTGCTCGTTTGCAATGACCAAGTTACTGTTCTGTTTTCTGAATGAACCGAGCAGGGACAAACCATCCGATGAGGACGCATGAAGACGATGAGAATTTGCATGTGCATGCATGCAACTGATTGGTTAACAAAAAACAACAACAGATGTTTTGACCTGTACGGAGTAATCTGGGCCGTGTCCTGCTGAAAGTGCACAGTGACTTGTGTAAAATATTCACTAGTCCTGGAATCAAGTGTCGTCAACGAAAAGTTCTCTTTGACTAAATTAACACAGGCAGCATCTTTGGCTCCCTTCTGCTCTCCGGCGCCCCCCAGGGAGGCGTTAGTCTCTCTCTTTAGTCTTTGTTGTTAGAGATCAGATCCTGTAGTGTCACCAGGGTTAAAATGGCGTCCTGAGCGATGAGATTAATGTCCATCCTGTCTGGCGACGGTCTGAATGAAGTCTGTTTCCATTTCCTTCCTCTGGTCCTTTAGGGTGGGGGCGGGGCTAAGTACATCCGTTATCCAATCAGGGAGTTTTCCTGCTCTTAGAAGAGGAGACACTTCCTGTCCAACGCATCCTCGCTTTCTCCTCTCAGCTCCGCAGGAAGTGGCGGTGTTTGAAGCAGTTACTGATAGATGAGCTGTGTTTATTGGTTGATTAACACGCTGATCAATCAGCGGAAGTCAGCAGCATTTCACAAATACTGAGGTGAAGAGTTCAAACTCACAAACTATGTTCAGCTTTACTTTAACTTAACAAGGCTACGGCAGCTCGCCACGGTCTAATTTGCTCCGCCACAGTTTCAAAATGAAGCTAAAATATTTTTACTCTTCTCATTATTACAATAAAGACATCTGACGCTACTGAAAGCTCACACGCTCACGCTCTTTGGCGTCCGGCTAGAGAAGTCTTACTTTTACGGTAACGCTAACAAAGGGTCTGAACAGAGTTTCTGTTAGACCGATTGATCGTTTTGCAGATATTATTGCCGGTATAAGCTACTTGCAGACTGGGCCGCTTCACTTACTGTAAAGGCTTGAATACGTGTGCACTCCAAGTTTAATCTAGCTTAATCTCCTTCTCACAGACGAGTGACAGAAACACTCAAAGAGGTTCTTTTCAGCCACAGATGGAGCGGATATGTTGGGAGACAGTTCAGCAGAGCAGCGTCTGCAAACGCGACACTTTAAAATGCTTCCACACTGCGACATGGCAACACGACTGTTTGGTAAAATTTATTCCTTTGACTCATTAGGCCGAACACAGAAAGTGCTTTTTTTGCTATTTTTTCGAACATTCGGTGCATCGATAAAATTTTTACAGAATAAAGATAAAATTAACTGTATTATGTGTCCATTAAAAGTTTAAAAAAAACAATAAAATATAATGAAATTACATTATTCTTTGAATTTCGGGCTGCTGGAAAAACAATATGTTTACTCTTAAGTTTAAGTCTTCACAGCTGTAGCCTCCTAATTTACCTCTCAAACCACGCAAGACTCCCCGAGAGGGTCCGAGGTCCACCCGTCAGTCACATCCCTTTCTTTAGCCCCTTTTCCACTGCACCAGCTCCACTCGCCTTTGTTTGGTTTTCCATTGTAGAAATGTTGCACCTGTTCCTGCTTCCAGGTACTTTTTTTTTCGTATCACCTCCGTCGAGCTGAGGGAAACTAAAATGTGACGTGAAAACAGGACAGACTGCTGATTGGTCAGAGAGAATATTCACTATTCACTGCATCATCATCGCTGCACCAGACAGACGGCAGTTTTCATCACTAAATCCACTTCTGAGAAGTTTGAGGTGAAATCAGCTGTGCAGATTTACAATATTGACAGTTTTACGAGAAGTGATGGAACAAAAATGTGCCTGAATATTTTTGGAGTTGAGGCGGCGGGTTGAAGCCTGCTGTGACCCGCGGGAGGAGCGTGTGAGGCCGGCCTGCCCGCTCACAGAGCCCTCTGCTCCCGCTGCAGCAACAACGGCAGAGGAAAACACAGCTGGAAGCTTTTCATTCCGCTTATCTGTCTTTACATTCTGAGGAAGGTTCAAACGCTTTAACTTAAAAAAGAGAAAGCTGTGTGGATCGCTGATGTGTGTGTCGCATCGAACTTTACGTCGCAGTTGTGTGTGGCGTCACTATGACGACCAGCTTCATTGAGGGTACCATCTTTGAGTACTATCTGCAATGGAAAACAGAGCAGGGCCGAGTCGAGCTGGTACTGCTGATGGAAAAGCTCCATTTTATTTATCAAACTGGGTCGGACTCGATGATTATATTAATATCTCGGCATCAGTCTTTAACATGAACGTGTTTCTGTGTGTAGCTGTTCAACGTGCCCTCCGGAGCTGCCGGGTCAGGTTTGGGTGGAGTGTTGCTCTAAACCAGCAGAATTCCCCTCGAGGCGTGTTTGTTTTCTCCACCCTCTCTGTACTTTGTACTGCGGTGGGGTCAGATCATTGTGCAACAGGATGGGGGGGGGTGGGGGGCGTTTGGTGACTGAGTCATGATCAGCTCAGCTGGGTGGGGCCGACTGTGGTACAGTTTCCACCTCAAACACACAGGAAACTGATTCTGCTGAGCCTGAACATCGGTTCACTGTCTGCTGCGCCGTCATTAGGAGGAGAACAGTTCTCCAGCAGAACATCTGCAGTTCCACACTGCTGCTCTGAGTGTGACCATCACCAGCTGTGATATCTCAGCATCAGGTGAACAGAGCTCATGTGGAAACAGACTTTAGTGTAAAATATAAAGAGGTTTCATGGGTTTATTTTATCAATATTTCTAGTTTCTATTTCTCGTGTTTTCACGCCTCTCCACTCTCTCTCTTTTACCCCTTGCTGTGTTTTGCAGCCTCTCTCGCCCACTCTGACCATCTGTTAACAGCCTCTCTCCCTCCTCCCTCTACGCGCTGTCCCCCCTTCTCCTCCAACTCTCTCTCTCTCTCTCTCTGTATAGTGAGTCAAGTCTCTCGCCCCATCTCCTCCAGATGATGTCAGGGCTGCAGAAACTCTGGGCGTCGACCACGACATCAGAGTTCATTCTCCCTGTGAGGCCTGCAAGCAGCAGCGCGCCGACCTCCATCACTGTTATTTCTCTAACTCCAATCAAGCGGCAACCTCTGGGTGTGAAAGTGAAACAATGCTGAAGCACTTAAACCTGGTCCTCTCTAGCGGCCAGCAGGGGGCGACTAAACCTGCGTCCTCTCTAGCGGCCAGCAGGGGGCGACTTAAACCTGCGTCCTCTCT